CTCGAACCCGCGAGCTCAGGCAATCCACTCACCTCAGCCTCCCAAAGCGTGGGATTACAGGCTGAGCCACCGAGCCTGGCCTGGCTAATTTTTTTATTTTCTGTAGAGATGCAGTCTTGCTATGTTGCCCAAGGCTGGTCTTGAACTCCTGGGCTCAAGTGATCCTCCTGTCTCAGCCTCCCAAAACACTGGGATTACAGGTGTGAGCCTCCGTGAATGGCAACCTGACCACATTTAATCCTCAGTGTCCAGCTGAGACGAGAGGGTTTGAGAGGCTGTGGAACATGCCCTGTACCTCCACACACTTGGTGACTGAGCCAGCTGCTATCTCTGGATTTTGTCCTCCCAAACCCAGTCCTTCCTGAAATCCACTCTCACTCAGAATGGCAGCAGAGGCCTCCTGGAAACCTTTTTTCCTATATAGATGTAACCTTTTTGAGACCTGCTTTTGGAGTTCAGTCTGTACTAAAGAGCAAAATCCCATGGTGGGAGGGGACCTTGAGATAAGCCTCATAGGAGCTTCTCCCTGTGTGGACAGAGGCAGCACGCAGACCAAGAGGGGAGCATAGGAACAACAGAGACCAAGTCAGGCAGAACATACCTGGAGGGTGTTTTCTAATAGCTTTCTTTGAATGCTATTTTTACTTAAATTTGATATGCAAGCAGAGATAATTGGTATTTATTTGCATATTTATACTGTTGCTTAAAATAGAAAGTTATTTGTAATTGCCTGTTCAAATGTGGAATGAGCCACATATTCTGAAAGCCCTAAACCCAAGTCTGCAAACCTTGGCACTTGTCTTGGTTGCCATCTAGTGGTGGCCACTAGAACTGCATGTGTGATGCCTCAAGATGACAGGTGACACATCCAGCCGGTTTAGAGATCTAAGTGACAGGTGATAGGTGACAGATATCATGCTAATGACCTAATGCTAATTTAGAGCAAATATTTTAAAGCCATAGAGCTGCAAAAGTAAGTGCAATGCTTTAAAAGGCATTTGTTCTTTCCCCCATCAACACTGTGCAGCCCTGAATGCCTCAGGTTGGAGTCCAGCTGTAGCCCTGAACACTTAGCGAGCCCTAGGACCAGCCTCAGAGATCTGACCTTCTGATGTGTGCTGAAATCTAAACCAATGCTGGCGGCTGACTCCTGGCCTGAGGGCATCCTGTGGCTAAGGGTGTGGGTGGGGTAGGTTGGAGAGAACACCAGGCTGGACTTGGGAGTCCTGTCTCCACTTTGCCTCCAACTGACTGTGTGATCTTGAGAAAGTCACTTCTGCTTTCTGGGCCTCAGTTTTTCTATTAGTACAATAGGGACTTTGTCTAGACAAAAGATGATGGGTAGGAAGCTGCTATCTTGTCTTGAGCGTTCTGAGGCAGCCTCCAGACTCAGTGGGAAAAAAGTGCCATGATCAATTAGTTATGTCCGCCCTGGGCACAAAGAGAGTGGTGGCAGATGTACTTCACATTTGCTATCCTTAAACTCAATGAACCCTGGAGGCCTCTCCCCCCAGCTCTGAGAGGGCAGAGCCTTCTGTTTCCCAGGAGACCTATGGTTGTTCTCTCTTCATCCACTCAGCTCAGACTCAGGAAGGTTTTATACACATATTTGAGCCATAGTGGGGAAAAATTCCTTCCCAAATCTACTGGGGAAAGGGAAGGGATTTCTTTTTTCTTTTAAGATTTGACCCTTCTGGGCACGATGGCTCACACCTACAATCCCAACACTTTGGGAGGTGGAGGCAAGAGGATTGCCTGAGCCCAGGGGTTTGAGACCAGCCTGGGCAACTTGGCAAGACCTCATCTTTACAATAAATCAAAATATTAGCCAGGCGTGGTGGCACACTCCTGTGGTTCCAGCTACTTGGAAGGCAGAAGGATTGCCTGAGCCTGGCAGGTTGAGACCGTGGTGACCATGAGCACTCCAGCCTGGACAACAGAGTGGGACTCCAACTCAAAAAGAAAAAAAAAAAGATTTGACCCTGTTTCTAAGAATCATGAACCTCAGAAGAAGGCAGAGGTCATGAATCCAATACAGTGAGAACCCAGAGAAGCATAAATATCTGGACAGTGAGATGTGCCCCTTACATGCCCTGTAAGTCTGTCAGTCTGAGGCTTCAGGCGCTCTAAAGTGACATCTATCTCCCTAAGGGTACTCCCTATGGGTGTTCCGCCACAGACCTCCATGGGTGTTATGGTACAGAAGGGGCTCCGTGAACCACTGGGCAACCCTGGTTGGTTAAGGAGTCGGCCACGCAAGGTGACATTACTGCAGGATTGCTCAGAGGCTGGCCCAGGGTGGTGTGCACCATTAGCCTCCAGCAGGGGGCTAGACTGTGTGGCTTTCCCCAGATGTCTTTGAACCTGGGACCTTGTGTCCACCTAGCACCTTGGGAGACTGACTGGTCCATGGAAGACATTTTGGGAAACGTCTTCTTGGATCAGCCCTGGATGGGAGGGGCCGGGGAAGATGGGAGAAGTAGAGGAAGCAGTACTTCTCCCGAGAAGACTTCCCTGCTTAGCCCTGAGGGATTTGTTTCTTACCCAAGATCCCATTAGAGCCTTGTGATATCATGGGGGGCAGGGGGAGTGAAGGATAAAAAGAACGATGTACATTGAGCACCTGGTGTATGCCAGGTAGTGAGTAGGGTACTGCAGGTCTGTCTTCTCAACCAAATGCCTCATAGCCATGGGGAGTAGATAATGTTCATCTTACCTTATAGATCTTTAAATTGAGGCTCCAGAGGTTATTGTACTGGCCAAGGCCTCAGGGCCTGTGAATGTTACCATAAGAATAGCTAGCAGCCAGGCTAGGTGGCTCAGCCTGTAATCCTGTGCCTTTGGGAGGCTGAGGTGAGTGGATTGCCTGAGCCCGCAGGTTCGAGACCTGCCTGGGCAGCGAGACCTCATCTCTACAATAAAAAAAAAAAAAAAAAAAAAAAATTCAGCCGGGCGTGGTAGCGCGCGCCTGTAATTCTGGTTACTCGGAAGGCTGAGGCGGAAGGATCGCCGGAGCCCAGCAGGTCGAGGCTGCGGCGGCCGGGAGCGGCCACTGCACTCCAGCCTGGGCGACAGAGTGAGACTCCAACTCAAAAAGGAAAAAAAAAAGAATAGCTAGCAGCTGGGCTCGGTGGCTCAGCCTGTAATCCCGTGCCTCTGGGAGGCTGAGGTGAGTGGATTGCCTGAGCCTGTAGGTTCGAGACCTGCCTGGGCAGCGAGACCTCATCTCTACAATAAATCAAAAAATCAGCCAGGTGTGGTAGCGCGCGCCTCTAATTCCGGCTACTCGGAAGGCTGAAGTGGAAGGATCGCCAGAGCCCAGCAGGTCTGCACTCCAGTCTGGGCGACAGAGTGAGACTCCAACTCAAAAAAAAAAAAAGATTAGCTAGCAGCCAGGCTCCGTGGCTCAGCCTGTAATCCCGTGCCTTTGGGAGGCTGAGGTGAGTGGATTGCCTGAGCCCGCAGGTTTGAGACCCGCCTGGGCAGTGAGACCTCATCTCTACAATAAATTAAAAAAAAAAAAAATCAGCCGGGCGTGGTAGCGCGTGCCTGTAATTCTGGTTACTCGGAAGGCTGAGGCGGAAGGATCGCCGGAGACCAGCAGGTCGAGGCTGCGGCGGCCGGGAGCGGCCACTACACTCCAGTCTGGGCGACGGAGTGAGACTCCAATTCATGAAGAGCTCACTGTGTGACAGGCACTGTACTGGGCACTGAATGTGTTAACTGTCCATCCTCACAACACTCCTGTGGTTGTTTTGAGAAGGCCAAGGCTCATCACTGGACACGGTGGCTCACGCCTGTCAACCCAGCACTTTGAGAGGTGGAGATGAGAGGATTGCCTAGGTCCAGGGGTTCAAGACCAGCCTGGGCAACTTGGCAAGGCCTTGTCTCTGCAATTTTAAAAAAATTAGCCAGGTATGGTGGTGCTCACCTGTGGTTCCAGCTACTTGGAAGGCTGAGGTGGAAGGATTGCCTGAGCCCAGCAGGTCAAGGCTGCAGTGGCCGGGAATGTGCCACTGCATTCTAGCCTGGGCAACACAGTGAGACTCCGACTCAAAAAAAAAAAGGCCAGCCGGGCTCAGTGGCTCAGCCTGTAATCCTGCACCTTGGGAGGCTGAGGTGAGTGGATTGCCTGAGCCTATGGGTTCAAGACCCGCCCGGGCAACTTGGTGAGACCTCATCTCTACAATAAATCAAAAAAATTAGCCGGGTGTGGTAGCATGCGCCTGTAGTTCCAGCTACGTGGAAGGCTGAGGCTGAAGGATCGCCGGAGCCCCAGCAAGTCAAGGCTGCGGTGACCGGGAGCGGCCACTGCACTCCAGTCTGGGTGACAGAGTGAGACTCCAACTCAAAAAAAAAAAAGAGAAGGCCAAGGCTCAGAGAGGTTAAATATCTTGCCCAAGGTTACCCAGGAAGCAGCAAGACCAGGATTCACACCCAGGCAACCTGACTCCAGAGCCCCTGCACTGAAGTGATCCTCACCACTCTGGAGACCGCCTGGGTCATCCTCCCCCAAAGAGTGTTTGTCTCACCCCAAGTGCCAGGAGCACCTGCCAAGTTATGAAGTGGGGCTGGACTGGTGTTTGTGTGGAAGGACCTCCCCACTGAGACCCAGGGAACCATCTCTGCCACTCACTGCCTGGCAGGGCTACGACCTCTATGATCACTTCAGGCCTCCTTCCTTCCCTCTCCAGGCTGGCGGCCATTGCCCTGCTAGTCCTGGACGAGGAGGAGAGTGCCTTCTGGTGCCTGGTGGCCATCGTGGAGATCATCTTGCCGGCCGATTACTATAGTAAGACACTGACAGCGTCCCAGGTGAGCGGGACCGGGAGGGGACTTGGTAGCCAGGCAGGGCAGTGCCCTGCCGCTGTTCCTGCAAGCCAGTGACTCTCCAGAAAGCTGGGTATCTCTCAGACCTCCATTGTTCCCTCTGTGTGGTAGGATCGCTTTTGACTGTATGGGAGGGAAACCCACCCTGGTTTCAATAATTACCAACACAGGGAGGCCCACGTTGTTTCATCCGCACTCCCACTCACGCCCCCTGCTTTATCTTGAAGTAAATGCCAGACTTTCAGGCACCATTTTAGTTTACTCATGAACCCTTCACTAGGTTCACTGGTGTCTAGATTCAGCGAGTTCCCTTAGGTTTTGAGCCGGACACTCGGCCTCCATGGCTGGCCTGGGATTCTGGGTAAGAGAGGGAGGACAGGGAGCCACCAGGTGTTGGCCACAGCTGACACTAATGCCTGGAAGAGGACGTAGTCGGAGAGAGCAGAGTAACCAGCAGTTATGGGAAGAAAGAGCGGGCAGAGACAGAGACGGGGCCATCCCAGCACCAGGAAGACCGTGAAAGGACCACGTCTTAGAACCAGGGAAGGAGCCAGTGTGGGGAGTGATCAACCAATTCAGGGAAACAAGGATGGAAGCATGACAGTGGACCTACAGAGAGGCACTGGCCACCAGCATCCTGCTTTGTGAGGGATCCTTGATGTCTAGTAGGCAGGATGTTATGCCCCCCCATGCATTATGCCCCGCCCCGACCTTGCCCCAAACATCCATCGAGCATCTTGGGTATCGGGCCCAAATTGGGTAGAGAGAAGCGGTCTTCGTGTCAGCGGATACAGGCCTGGAGATGAAGCTCCTCAGGGCCTTCAGGGCCTTCGTGCATGAGGCCAGTTTCTCTAACTGCCAGGAGGACCAGCCTGACCCCTGAGCTCCAGCTTGGCTAGTGATGCAGGTGGGGAAGGGGGCAGGGAACTTGCCAGCCTGCACAGAGCTCTGTCGCAAAGCCTGATGCTCCAACCCAGGTGATCTCACCTGTGCTGGGAACCTTGGCATGCCACTGCACCTGGCTCCCAGCCAGGCTGGGCTCTGACTCCCCCAGGTGCCTCCTGGGAAGGGCAGGATAGGTCCTGTCCTACTCAGAGAGGTCCTGTCCTACTCAGAGAGGCTCCAGGATTGTGTGTGGACTGACCTGGCAGGGAGGGAGGCAGCCCCTCTGGCTCTAGGTAACAAGCCTGCTTCCAGGTGGACCAGCGGGTACTCCAGGACCTCCTCTCGGAGAAGCTGCCCAGGCTGATGGCCCACCTGAGGCAGCACTGTGTGGACCTCTCCCTTGTCACCTTCAACTGGTTCCTCGTGGTCTTTGCAGACAGTCTCATCAGCGACATCCTTCTTCGGGTCTGGGATGCCTTCCTGTATGAGGGGACCAAGGTAGGGCCCCGCCAGGGGGTGGGCAAGACCCTTTACTGCTCTGGGTCTTGATTCGGCCCCCAGAGGGTAGGAAGGCAGTGCACACCTGCCAGGGCTGTGAGGGCTGTCTCCTGAGAGTGTGGCTTTATACACCACGCCTCTGAAGCTGGGTCCTAAAGTTGGGGATTTCCTTTCCCTGGAGAGAAGGCATGAGTATGACAGGGAGGCACGTTCCTATCCTATGTGTTTTTCCCAGGCACCCGTACCACCCCTTGTTCTCCTCCTCCTGGTTGGACTAAGCCCTGGATCAGGAGGCCAGGTCTTGGGTCTGGTCCCAATTCTTTCCTGATCTTGCCAGGAGACCCTGGGCAGCTCCCTCACCTCCACCCCCTCCACCAGCCCCATTTTCTACCTCACAGTCATCAGAGCGCCTCAGTTTGTCGTTTCGTTTGGTCCCTGCCAAAGCCCCGCGTAAAACACAGTGACAGCCCTATTCGGTTCAACAGCCATGCCTCGCCCAGGGCCATGGGACAAGACAGGCTAGAAAGAACCAGGACTGCCGGGCTCAGTGGCTCAGCCTGTAATCCCACGCTTTGGGAGACCAAGGTGAGTGGATTGCCTGAGCCCGAGGGTTCGAGACCCGCCTGGGCAACTTGGCGAGACC